GAGCTCTTCATAGATTGTTGGGTTCACTTCATTGCACTGGGTGTGTGAATCTACGCCATCCAGACTTGAGGTTTTATTGGCTGCTCCATTACCACTACTATGCCCATCACCGGCACCAATCACAACTCCGCCGTTTGTCCCCACTCGGGTCGTCATGGTGGCAGGTGTTGTCGTATTTGTTGTTGTTGTCAAATTGGTTGAGGCGGCTGGTGCCCGACTAAAGTTACCATTGCCATTAGTATGCGTCAGGGCGGATGTTACAGTTGGTAACTAAGCGTGAGTATATTATTAAGTTGCAAGAAAAAAGGGAGGATTTGATTATTTTCGGTTTGCCATACACAGAAGGATTTTTCAACGCACATACAATATGTGTGTTCATTGAGTTAGATATTTAGCGTGATAGGAAGAAAATACAGAAAAAAATAAATTAAATAAAAGAAAATACAAAATATATAAGTGAATTGTTGAAGAAAGTACCCAACATAAATTTGATGACAAAAACACACAAAGAAGAATAAAAGAAAGACAAGAAGTAAAGAAGTAAGTAAGCGAGCGAGCCACCATAAATTTATATTGGAAGCATCTTCTCTAAGCAGCAGCATTGTTGTTGTTGTATCAGCAACAAACTAAGCAGCCATTGTCAAAATAGTACGATGGCCCACATAATCACCCAACCAAAACTATAGTAAGAGATTCTTAAACAGTGGATCCCAAAAGAGTGCTTCAATTCGGACATAATCTAATTGAATTTACTAATAAATGTCTAGACACATCACAACCTACAACAACAACAATAAAATAAGATTGACTATTGCAAAATGATGACCTTAATATAGGTCATGACAAGTTCATGGCATCTTAATACATTATTTTGTTATTTTGTTCTTATATAAAGTTATATATTTTATGGTTATTGTTATTTGAAAAGAGCCCACTATAATATGAGCTTTGTTGTTGTATGAGTATGAATGAAATAATAAAATTTGAATTAGTTTTTAACCCAATTTATCTAAACAATTAAATTAAAATTTATTCAATTTAGATATTTAACATTCAAAATGCGTCATTATTTATGAGTGCTTTCTTATCGCAGTTCATACCAACAACAAGAAACCGGTATTTATTGTTGTGTCACCCAGTAACAAGTGAACAAAAATTAAAGCATACTTTCAGGCGCATGTTTTGCTTATGTTAAGTAAAATAATAAAATAATAATTGATTTAATTCGAATCTACACTAATTCAAGAGTGTGCCTACAAAATTTCAAGTGAAAATCTCAATAACTCTTGAAGATATAGCCGATTTATTGTGTCAGCATCAAGTGATGGCTAAAGGGCTTCTCAAACTTTAAACGCGTTTTTCTCTTTTGCGAATGGCGGGCGCGATAGCTCAAAAACTAATAACCCAATCGATTTCAAATTTTTACACATATCTCTGTGAGTGTATAGCTATCGTATGAACTAGGATAAAGCCAATCGGTGAAGATCTTCCTTATTATACCCTTCACCACAGTGTGCTACAGAGTATTATGTCTTTGTGCATATGTTTGTAACAGGCAAAAGGAAACGAGATAGACACATGGTTCCTTCTGAGAATATGCATAGAATCACTTTCTAAGTCGATTTATGCATGTCCGTCCGTCCGTCTGTCTGTCTGTCCATGTTAAATTGTAAACAAAGTACAGGCAGCATTTATGATCCGAATTGGATGAAATTTGGCACAGGTCACTTATTCGGCCCAAGGTCCCTATATATCTTTCGATTTGCACGAAATTTGGTACAGCCCAATCATTTTGATCTAGAATTATGTCTGCCAAGTTTCGTGAAAATCGGTCCAGATTTAGATATAGCTCCCATATATAGTTTCGTCCGATTTCATGTAAATGGTGCACCAAAGTCCCTATATATCCTTCGATTTGCACGAAATTTGGCATAGCATTCTGAATTAAGCCTAGAACAATGTCTGCCAAGTTTCGAGAAAATCGGTCCAGATTTCTATATAGCTCCCATATATAGTTTCGTCCGATTTCATGTAAATGGTGCCCCAAAGTCCCTATATATTTTTCGATTTTCACGAAATTTGGCATAAAGTACTGAATTAAGCCTAGAGTGATGTCTGCCAAGTTTCGAGAAAATCGGTCCAGATTTAGATATAGCTCCCATATATAGTTTCGTTCGATTGCATGTAAATGGTGCACCAAAGTCCCTATATATCCTTCGATTTGCACGAAATTTGGCATAACGTACTGAATTAAGCCTAGAGTGATGTCTGCCAAGTTTCGAGAAAATCGGTCCAGATTTCTATATAGCTCCCATATATAGTTTCGACCGATCTCATGTAAATGGTGCACCAAAGTCCCTATATATCTTTCGATTTGCACCAAATTTGGCATAACGTACTGAATTGAACCTAGGATGATGTCTGCGTTGTTTCGTGAAAATCTGTCCAGATTTAGATATAGCTCCCTTTTATTATAGTTTGATTTTAAGTAATTGACGCACCAAGGAACCAATAGGAACAAAACGTTCTGAAATTAGTATAACCTAACCTGTGACAAGTTTGTTTGAAATCGCTTAATATTTGGATAGAGCTTTCATATATATTTTCGCCCGATTTCAAGTAAATTGGGCATCAAACTCCTCATGATAGTCAGTTTGACTACGTAGATTCACATTTAGATAAATATCACATATTTTATTTCATCCAATTTCATGCTAATAGTCCTGTTTAATATACCCATAGTGGTGAAGGGTATCATATAGTCGGCCCCGTCCGACTTTACTACTTTCTTTAGAGGTTTTTTTTTTTGATATTGTTCATTTGCGACTTGTTGGTTTTCTAAACAAAAAACAGTAACAAAAGTAGTAAAATCGGACGGGGCAGATTATATGATACCCTTCACCACTTTGGGCGTATTCAACAGACATATGTTAGGATGCATATGTCGCATTTTACAAGGACCATTGACAGGAAATTGGTTGAACTGAAATATTTGATCTTTTTATACCCTCCACCATTTGTTTTTCCGTTTGTAACTCATCGAAAAATCACTTCCGACCTTATAAAGTATATATATATATCCTTGACCAGCGCAAAATTCTAAGACGATTTAGGCATGTCCGTCTGCCTGCTTGTTGTAATCACTCTAGCCTCTAAACGAATTGAGATAGATCGCCAAAATTTTGCATATAGTCGTCTTTTGTATGCAGGCTGTTCAAGTTTGAAGATGGGCCACATCAATCCACGTTTAGACATAGCTCCCATATAAGGGTACCCCCAAAGGTTCTTGAGAAATTTTCCCAACGATTTCGCTGAAATTTGGCACATTGGGTTTTTATTAGGTAGCAAATATATCTACTAACAATAATAAATATAAGTAAATTTTTTCGGGTAGCCCCATATAACGGTACCCACTATTATCGGTATTTTGGGGTTTTAGAGTGCGTTTTTCAACCAAATCCGCTGTAATTTGATATTTTGTAGTCGCATTTGGTAGTAAATCTCCCTTCCAAAATTATTTATAATCGCCCCCTTTTGTGGGTAGTCCCCATATAACCTCTTTTTATACCCTACACAAAACTATGTTGTCAGGGTATTATAGTTTTGTGCAGCCCCAAGAGTTTGTAACGCCGCGAAATATTGGTCATAGACCCACCTTTAAGTATACCGATCGTCATATCTCGACTATCCGAGTCGATCTAGACATGTGTGTCGTCCATCCGAATTTTAGAATTTTTTTCTAATGCCTATATATTTATAATTTTGGGATGAATTGGACCGAAAACTTAATTTTTTGTAATTTTTGGAGTCGATAGGAACAAAACGTTCTGAAATTAGTATAACCTAACCTGTGACAAGTTTGTTTGAAATCGCTTAATATTTGGATAGAGCTTCCATATATATTTTCGCCCGATTTCTGGTAAGATTCACATTTAGATAAATATCACATATTTTATTTCATCCAATTTCATGTTAATAGTCCTGTTTAATATACCCATAGTGGTGAAGGGTATCATATAGTCGGCCCCGTCCGACTTTACTACTTTCTTTAGAGGTTTTTTTTTTTTTTATTGTTAATTTGCGACTTTTTGGTTTTCTAAACAAAAAACAGTAACAAAAGTAGTAAAATCGGACGGGGCAGATTATATGATACCCTTCACCACTTTGGGCATATTCAACAGACATATGTTAGGATGCATATGTCGCATTTTACAAGGACCATTGACAGGAAATTGGTTGAACTGAAATATTTGATCTTTTTATACCCTCCACCATTTGTTTTTCCGTTTGTAACTCATCGAAAAATAACTTCCGACCTTATAAAGTATATATATATATATATATATATCCTTGACCAGCGCAAAATTCTAAGACGATTTAGGCATGTCCGTCTGCCTGCTTGTTGTAATCACTCTAGCCTCTAAACGAATTGAGATAGATCGCCAAAATTTTGCATATAGTCGTCTTTTGTATGCAGGCTGTTCAAGTTTGAAGATGGGCCACATCAATCCACGTTTAGACATAGCTCCCATATAAGGGTACCCCCAAAGGTTCTTGAGAAATTTTCCCAACGATTTCGCTGAAATTTGGCACATTGGGTTTTTATTAGGTAGCAAATATATCTACTAACAATAATAAATATAAGTAAATTTTTTCGGGTAGCCCCATATAACGGTACCCACTATTATCGGTATTTTGGGGTTTTAGAGTGCGTTTTTCAACCAAATCCGCTGTAATTTGATATTTTGTAGTCGCATTTGGTAGTAAATCTCCCTTCCAAAATTATTTATAATCGCCCCCTTTTGTGGGTAGTCCCCATATAACCTCTTTTTATACCCTACACAAAACTATGTTGTCAGGGTATTATAGTTTTGTGCAGCCCCAAGAGTTTGTAACGCCGCGAAATATTGGTCATAGACCCACCTTTAAGTATACCGATCGTCATATCTCGACTATCCGAGTCGATCTAGACATGTGTGTCGTCCATCCGAATTTTAGAATTTTTTTCTAATGCCTATATATTTATAATTTTGGGATGAATTGGACCGAAAACTTAATTTTTTGTAATTTTTGGAGTCGATCTATAGACCACAATTGAAAGCCGATCACAACACAACCCACGGTGAAGGGAATCTGTACTGAATATTAGTAATATTTGTTGACCTCTAGTCGGTCAAGAGGGTGCAAATATCTCGAAATATTATATGGTCGGCCCGTCCCACTATATTGCTCCGCTCACTGGCTATATATAAATTAGATAACTGATTTGTTCCGCATATGGAGAATATTCTGTAGTCGAAATTGTCAGTTTATACCCTACAAAGTAAGGAAATCTAAGACGGGATAAAAACCAGTAAGGAAAGTAGTAAAGTCGGTTGGGGCCGACTATATGATACCCTTCACCACTATGGGTATATTAAACAGATGCATCCTAACAGACCTTTATCTAAATGTGAACCGATTTAGATCAACCCATAAACATGCCATTCGTTTGTTACAAAGGTACAAAATTAAAATTATCAAAATCGATTTAAAGAAAATATCAATCGGGCACCGAACTCTCATGGAAATATATATGGACTATATCCGAACTACTTCAAGAAATTTTACACACATCGTTCTAGGGTTTATTCAGTACGCTATGCCAAATTTCGTGCAAATCGAAAGATTTGCTATATCTATGTGAACCGATTTTCAAGAAATTTTACACACATCATTCTAGACTCAATTCAGTACGCTATGTCAAATTTGGTGCAAATCGAAAGATATATAGGGACTTTGGTGAACCATTTACATTAAATCGGGCGAACATATATATGGGAACTATATCTAAATCTGAACCGATTTTCAGGAAACTTAACACACATCATTCTAGACTCAATCCAATACGCGGTGCCAAATTTCGTGCAAATCGAAAAGATCGGACGGAGCCGACTATATGATAACCTTCACCACTTTCGGTACATGCATAGAAATGGTATCGGCCAAAATTATATTTGTGAGCTACATAGATATTTGGACCAATAAATAAAAAAACCATAGACATACCATTCTGAAATATATGAAAAATTGTATGTCAATCGGACAGACTTGGACTCTTTAGAATACCATTTTTATGAAATCGATCAAAATTATGTATGTGAGCTATACGTAAATCTGGACCTAATTGAGCAACCATGGCATAAACGATTTGGTATGTTGCAGCAAAGTGCGTTGTCCACAATTTTATCTCGCTAGAAGAAACCTTTATGAGTTGGTGCACAAATGGCATTTAATCACACCAATTTCAACAAATCTTAACAGACATAAAACTGGACTAAATTCAGTACGCTGCGCGAATTTTGTCTCAATCGGACACACATTGGAAGTTTGGTGCACCTTTTACCTATAATCGGACTTTCCTCTGTCTATTTTCTCCCATTTCAATAGGGTTCGTCCATAGGCCAAATAAGTGACCTGGCCAAATTTCATCCAAATCGGAACATAATTTTGGTAAGAAGGTTTTTAATCAATGGTTACATAAAATATAAATACGGTACTAACTCGGATGAAATACATAACGAAAAGTAGGGCTAACATTATATAATGGTGGTTATTAACCTATATTGGTAATCCTCAAAATGTGGTTTCCTTCCCAACATTAGTAATTTTTGGTCGGAAGATTTGCTTCACAATGAGAATCCACAATACTTAATTGCAGCCATTTTATTCAACCTCCGCAAACTACAGAAAATTTTTAATTTTTGGTAAGAATGTTTCCTATTCAACGCTAAACCGTCAAATAGATTGGATGCTATAACCAATAGATTTATTGAGGAAATACTTCGCAGGGAATTTTGGGCCAGTCGATTTGACATCAAGATCTTGTAATATCACACCTCAAGGCTTTTTCATGTATGTATTCATGGATATATGTAACGTGTAAGACCGCTCAGATTCAAACGTGAAGCATTCACTAAATAAGATAATATTTGAATTAAAAAACAGAACGTCGACAACGTTACTATGAATCCATTGAATGTGAAGTAAAATGGATTTTTATTTGGGTTTCGATATCATTACAAATTTCAGGGCATTATTTTCCATTGTTTACAATATCAACCACGATCTCAAACATAAATTTCGAAATACAACTCACACAAATTCCCTCCACTTAACTCTGTAACCATCATATTAACTCCAATCCATTTTCCATTTAACCCACAATTTAACATATTTAGCCTTTTATGATTCACTGTTGGTTGAGCTTCTTTGTTTTATCTTTCCCTGGGACCTTTTGCAACTTATTCCACTCATTTTATGTTTGCTTTTGTTTTTCGACTTTTCGACATAACAGCAACAAAAACAACAACAATCTACTTTGATACAATAAATTCAATTTTGTTGTTTGGCTTGGCTCTTATTTACCTTGCTTATTTTATTCTTTGTTTCATGCATTTTGTGTGTGTGGTGTATTAAGTATGGCTGCCTGTGAATGTGTGAAGGGAGTGTTTTTGTGGTAATTTTTGTAAGAAAAATTTACTCATAACTCTTACCTGCACTTGTTCTAAACCTCGAGTGTATGTTGGATTCTCAAATGCCACTCCAGTGGCTGCCTTACCATTTGCTCGATGTCGTCTGTAGAAAATAATGGCGGCGGCTGCTAACAGTACCGCCAAAATGCTGGCAACGATGCCGCTTATCGTGCCCACAGCATTCGAGTATGATGTTGTCGCGGAGGTAACATGATGCTCGCCAAGTGTGAATTTTATCGGTTCCGTTAAAACACTGGCACCTGGAAAGGAGGCAAAAGCAAAGAAAACAAGAAAATTAACGAACGTGTGTGGCAGTGATATAATGTGGCGGGACCACAAAACGAAACATGGTAACAAAATATGGGCAACCAGAGTGTAGGTATAATAAATATGTATTAGTACGTGTGTGTGACAGGAAGGTGTGTCATGACAGTTTGGTATAGACTTTGAAATTTTCGAAGATATATTTTCCGAGACAATATGTAATGGAACTATTTGGAGAATATTAAATTGTAGGGGCTGATGGTGGGTTAATAATATATGATGGGATAATAATATATGTTGCCTAAAAGTAGGCAACAGTTTTTGAAGTTTATCTTTGCTAACGAATAAACAAATATTGGTTCATTTTATCTTTGATTAAAATTGTATTTTCTTCCAAACCAATCTAGAACTTTTTATTCTAATTTAGTTTAAAACTGAATGATCCCTCTACCATAATTTGCATATTTCATACAATTTCTAACAAACCCCACATTCACTTGTCTAAATAAATCCAAGTGCCAGCCACTTAAGATGCTCACGTTTACGGCCATGGTTACCCAAAATCATTTCATTATTTCTCGTACATAAATTTTCCACACCTTCATAAAAACAAACTCACATACATACACGTAATGTACATGTGCACTTGAATTGTGCATCCTTCATTTCAACTTACCATAGGTATTGCCAGCTTTCACAACCAACTCGTATAAGACATCCTTTTTAAGACCATCTATATTCACACTGGTTTCCTTGACGTCAATGCGTCTCACCTCACTGCCACTTAGCGGTGGTGCCGTGATATTACCACCACCACCTCCCATTGGCATGCTTGTTGCATTATTATTCAGCATTGTTGGCTCGAGAACAGCAGCGGCACCGCTAACACCAGCACCGCCATTTATTGTCTCACTAGATGTCACATCGTTACCAATTATGGCCGCTTCATGGTAGAAAATGCGATAGCCATCAACAGCATTGGGATTTTTCGTTGGTGGATCCCATCTGTGGGAATAGACAATGATGGAGAAAACACAAAAATGACGAATGAATGCATGGAAAGGAAGTAACATAAAATGTTTGTCGTTGTTGTTGTAAAGATATACGCAAATGTACTAAAACTTGAATATGTTATATACATACTCTATATACTTATATGTGGGAAATATAGGTGTGTAGAGATAATTAAGGCTTAGGCTTATAAAGACCTCAATAAAGTACGACAAAAAACCTCCTTGACCGCAAAAAAAAATCATAGCCATCAGCACGACATTTCCTCAATCTAGTATTGTAAATATTTACGTATAACTCCAAACATCCGAGTACATACAACAACATGATTAGTATCAAATTAAAAGCCAAACAATTCTCTTGGATATATTGTCAACTTAATATTAACCTATCATTAACAAAAATAATAGGGTTCTTCTTGGCCAAATCAGTTGTGACGATTGGTCCATAATTATCGCACGTATTGTGTTTACAAATTATAATGGACAGAGGGACACACATGTCTAGATCGACTCAGCTGGTCGAGATATTACGATCGGTATACTAAAAGGTCTAGGACCAATATTTGGCGACGTTACAAAAAACTATAATACTGTGATACGTTTAAACAACGGCGACACGCGTCGCATAATGGTGGGTGCGAAGGTTCTTCCCCTAGCTTACCCTTTCATTGCAAAACTTTGGTAATTAAGCTCGACTCGAAAGAGATAAATGTGGTTTAAAAAGGAGAGAAATAATATCCGAAGGTAGTATGAAAGAGTCCCGGCCTAAAGGAAAGGATCGTCTATACTTTCACCGTAAGGTTCTACTGATGGTATTATTGGTTTCTGCAATCATTCCGATATCTTGAAGAATATATTAATATTAACCTGAAGTAGAACCAATGAAGTTCCCAGACTCTTTTGTTGGGCGTTCATAGAGTGTAAACGGCTTCCTAGTAGATTTTTATAGGTCCATGTTTTTACATATTTGCAAGAATTTTCTGATCGAAATTTTATCATTTTGGAGTTCCTCGTATAACAATTTTCAATATAGGTTCATACTTTTCAATATAGGTTCCGCTCCGCTGTGTCTGTAAGTTTTCGCATAAATATATAGCGTAACTCCAATTTTATTGTGGTGGCGTGATACAGGGGATAGTGTACCACACTACAAAACAATGGCACCCACGTTCGAATCCCAGAGAAAAAAAACAAATTTTCTGAGAAATTGGCACCCATATTCGAATTGCAGAGAAAAAACAATTTTTTTAATATAATAATAACAAATCCACAGTGTGGATTTTCGAAGACGAAACAAAAGTTCTGCTGATGGAGGGACACTGCAAACAGTATTATTGGGGTTTCCAATCATTCCTATATCTTGAAGAATATAAGGATCATAAGGTTGTATCGAACTTTACGAGGCCACCATTCATAACAGAGATACAATTTATATTAACCTGACTCTTTTCCATTCTCTATGGTTCATAAATTGGAAAAGGCTTCCTAGAACTTTTTTATAGGTCCATGTTTTGGTATATTTGAAAGGTCTTAGAAGAATTTTCTGATCGAAGTATCTATATTTCATCATTTTGAAGTTCCTCGTATGTAGCCATATATAGAGGATTCCATAAAAAGAGAACCAATATTGATCATGTTTAGTAGGAAAATATGACACCGCATGAGAAACTTAACAATCGACTGAAAAACATGCCCAAAAACCCACAAAATACCGAATATTGGGGTCTACCATGTTTCCGGGTAGCCCCCGAAACATGGACCAATGTTAAAAATTTTTTGTAAGGACATGTTTTACTCAATGAGAATCCGAAATATTAAATTGCTCCCAAATGGGTTTGAAACGCTTGCTCAAGCTCTCCAAAATACCGATCTTTGGGGTTTAGAGTTATATGAGGGCTTCCCTATGAGGTGGACCAATATTGATTATTTGTAGTAGTACTACCATACTACAACCCAAAATAACAAATTAAAACCAATTAACTAGAAACATGGGTCCAAGACCATCAAAATGTCGAATGTGGGGAAGCACCTTTATATGGGGGATACCCCCAGACATAAGTCTATATTGATAATTTTTAGTAATGAGTGATTCCAAAATACAAAATTACAGCTGATACTGTTAAAAAACGTGTCTAAACCCCCCATAAATTCCGAATAATGGGGCTACCGTTGTATGGAGACTTACCTAAGAACTGGACCAATATTGATAATTTTGGGTAGGAAGATTTGATATCCAATGAGAACCAAACCTAGCAAATTGCTGTCAAATCGGTTGAAAAATGTGTGAAAAATTCCCATAATACCGAATGATATGTTGCAAACGGAATGAAAAATGCGGCGCCGGTGTGATTTGCTAATGTAAGCGATACGCAGTACAATAGAGAGCCCCTCTGCTGACACCCAACATTATCAAAGGCAAGAAAATTCCTTTCACCCAAATAGACAAGATCAACTTCGTAGTGAATAAGCAGAAGTATAAACAGTAACTGGGTCTCACGATTTAACGGAGCAGAGGATGGGAAAAGTCGACAATACGCTCGAAGAACAGATCAATCTAATACGAAAGGCATCCTTTAACTAGTCTCGAAATGTGATAGTTATAATGGCTGTGATAACAAATACTTATTTGACTTATTTAGTAAAATACGTCTGCAATGCTAGCGGAAATTTATTTTTTGACATGTGAGATTTAAAAAAAAATATAATTCGCAAGTGATCATAGATATGCCGAACCCTAATCTTCGGTTTGTTCTAATTAGGCTTAAAAGCTTAAAGCTGCTATAACTGGGAGGTAATATTTAAGTCTAGTATATTATTAAAAATTCCGAAACGATAAGTGTCATAACTGTCAATAAATTATATTCTCTTTATTAGAGGCCCTACCAGAAAAATCTGTTGTTCACTATTCAACTAAATTTGCTGCCAACACCAAAATCAACGGCAAGAAAAATACAAAAGCCATAAAATGTCTTTCATCCGCTAATGAAGCTTTGCTTTCAGGCTTTTACTTGCTTCCCAAAATCCTCATCGTGGCGGATCCCTGGTTAGACGCTAACAAGATTTCGAAAAGGATTTTCCCTCCAGTTTTCACAATGTGTTCATGCATGCATGAGTGCTTGTGGTTTCTGCTGTCTTGTCTAGAGGCTGCTCATGATGCTGATGATTTTTGGGCGTTTCTTTATGTTTTACGCTTGTTTCCACCACTTTGAAAGTGTTTCTTCACACAATTCGTTCGGGTAGTTAAAATGTTTTCTCAAGGGAAATTGTTGGTGTGATGTTGATTTGGCCAGATTCGATCAATAAACTTATTCCAACATTCATTTAATTTTGGACGTAAAATGAAGAGCCTATTCGGTATGACATTCCCGTAAACTAATATTTATTTTGGATAAAAGCGATTTTGGAATAAACTCCATGTAACGATGACGATTAATGTTTTGGCCGTATTTCCCTACCAAATTTGGGATTTGGGGTTCTCCAAAGTTCTAATAGAAAATGTGTACAATAGGATCATGTCTTATATAAGATCTTACCGCGGTCTAAGTATTTTGAGTAAATGTCCAAGTTATCTTGTTGAATAAAGAACCTGAGAATATTTTTTTAACTAAGAGGATTCGAATTCTATGGTCAAAAAATTCAATAGCTGGTAATCAATCTAATATAGGTAAACTGATGTTTTCACATAGCTCCCATATAAGGGATCCGATCCGTTGTAGGTATTTTGAAGGACCCAGCATAAATTTAAATCCGATATAGCTATACAACGTTACTATTTTGAATGTTTGATTTAGTTCAGCTTTTACATAGATTTATCTTTCTCTTTTAATTCTCATGGTGGAGGTACTGTATGAAATTCCAAGAAAACTGTGAGTCGACAACACTGACACTATTCTTTGCTGTACTGCAGCTGTCATTGTTTTTTCTTTCATCATTGTTCCGCCATTTCGGCAAAAGACCACTAAAGTGTGTAAGTATTAACAGCTCGAATTGGAACAAAGAATAACCGAGTGCTAACTTGGCAATTTCAAAGCCAACTAGCTAGGCAATAGAAGGCCGTGAAAGAACGAAAGGTAGAAAAAGTCATGGTAAATGAGAGTGTATTGAAGTTCAAGTGGTTGGTCTATTAGTATTTGGCTGGCCACAAAATACAAATTTTCTCATCCACATACTAGCCGTTTCAATTGCTTTTTCATGAATATTCATAGCTATGTAATTATTTCTTATGTTCACACTCAAACACACATGTTTTTTTGTTCATTCACTCCAATTCAATTCACAAGAAACTGTTTTCTTATGTAAGATTGCTGAGGAGAAAAGCAGTGTAGAAACATTTTAACAATTGCTAACCTCAATGCAAGGGCAATTTCCGTTATGTTACCATATCCGGCTTAAACGATTTTGCTGTTGTCATCTCTTTCTTATGATTTTTTGCTCTTGGTTTTTAATGTAGAAACGTGTGTGTGTATGATTTTGTCAGTTGCCATAACAAAAATATAAAATCGAAAAGAAGTTAAACGTTTTCTTTTTTCTTGGCAAAGTTTTTTGACTCTCCGGTATCTAAAGCGGATATATGTTGCATGCATTTTAAGTAATGTTAGTCTAAATACGTAAGACTTTTCAGGGAATTGATACTTGTTGTTATTTAAATATAGAACATTTCGTTAGAAGAATTCTTGAATATAAATGCCTATGGCGATTATACATAAGAGGGAGCAAAAATTCTTGAAAGTATGCCTTATTTAATAAGGGCCCTTTTCGGAGTTTCAAAATATCTATTCAACATAGAGCTTTAAAAATTTGCACATACATGAACACATTTCTCAAAACAAAGGCTGTAATTTGACATTCCGTGTTCTTGGAGGGTGATAAACCCAAATTTTGGCTGCAAATTGTATACGGATTTTCGAGGCAAAGTTGTTGTAGTTTGACTTTCAATGTTCTTGGAATGCGAAAACATTTTCTGAAAAGATGGTCGTAGATTTCTGATATAATCCGTCCCGTTTTGCCTAATTTTCCGAATTGATTGTCTGAAACTTAGCATTTCGTTTTATCAGAGGAGTTCATGAATTTATCCTCCATATGAATGTAAGGGACAATTTTGATTAACGGTGGAGTGTATGATGAGTTCGAGCCGTTGAATCGGATTATATTTTTGGCGATTGAGAAAATGCAAAAACCCAAAAACTTCAGTCATTTGTCGGATCCCCGCCATTTGTCAGATCCCTCGACCTCTTAGAGAACGCGCGAACCTTATGAGATATAAAGGCTTATGACAAAACATAGATTTTTTCCATATGAGGATATATGTACAACAACCTGTAGAAAGAACAGGCATATCATCTTTGGACGACCGTTGCAATGGAATCAGGCGAAATAAAATTTGTGATCTACGTAGATATTTGAACCAATAAAAAACTATACACATACGATTCTGAAATCTATGAAAAATTGCATGTCAATGGGGCAGAATTAAATTTTTTTGCTGTACCATTTGTATGTAATCGAGCAAAATTATATATAGGAGCTATATGCAAATCTTGACTTAATTGAGCAACCGCGGTATACAACATTTGGAATCTCTCAGCACAGTGCGCTAAGAGATTCCTTTATTTTTTGGTGCACAAATTGCATCAACCCAAACGAAAATATATACATCTGAATATATTTTACAAAATCCAATACGCGTTATTTTAGCTCAAATTTGGTACTTTGTGCAGAAATGCGTGCAAATCGGAAAATTTTACAATTTAGATGAAATCGGTTTGGTGCATCATTTACATAAAATCTGACGAAAAATTATATTAGAACTATATCTAAATCTGAACCGATTTCAACAAAACTTCGCATATATATATATATATATATCTGGACTTAATTCAGTACGCTTTGCAAAATGTTGTCTCAACCTGGGAAATATTGGGTGTTTGGTACATCATTTACATAAAATCGGGGGAAAATATAACATGAACTTTTTTACAATTTAACAGACGGACATCCATTCTCAAAAGAAGCCATGTATCACAAAGACATAATACCCTGTAGGACTTTTGACATGGAATCGGACGAAATATAATTTGAGAACCGATTTTAAGAAACGTTGTGTATTAAGTGCAAACGTTGTGTATTTAGTGCACAATTTCACAATTGTGGAAAGGGGCAAACATATATATGTAGCTATATAAAAATCTGCAAATCTTTCATCCCATTCGGATTATAAATGCGACCTGTAGAATTTAACAGGGACAAAGACGAACATGGATGGTGACGAATATCGTTAACTACACATATTTTCTGAAGAAAGGGATTAAAAAGGATTAAATAGGCAAACAAATTATGGTGTACCGTCCCATGGACTCAAGCGGAATTTGTCACATGATCAGGTTTTGCAAAGAAATAGGGTACCGTTTGCTTGGTAGTGCTACATGCAATAACAATTTCCGTTGGTTCGACTTCGAAGGCCCACAAAATTGATTTCTATTTTGTTTGATATGCCACCTATACAAGCACCTAAATATGTTTTCACAACTTCTTTGTATTATCCGACATCATCAGGATCCAAAGCAAACAAACCTTGTTAAACTGGCAGATGTTCATGCAATATCGCTGAAATGCTCCATGATGCCTCTATGCCAGGGTGTGTCACATGACGATCATGTCTAATTAATTTCGGCATGACATCGATATTCTGTCGCATAATGTTCCACTTTCGTATGTGGAAGTCGTGTAGTATGTAATATTAATAGTCATATCATGACCCAAAATCAAATCATATAAATTTAAAACAAAACCACGCCGGGTTGAATAGTCAGACATGCCATCCGTGGTTCATCATTTACATGAAATATAATAATATGTATATTCAAACTGCATTAATAAGTTAAGCAAATTAAATCGCTCCCAATAAGCATTTATCTAGATTGAATATGGTATTATAAATATATAACCGATCCAATAGGACAGTTGTGTGTCCATTGCCTTCATTTAATTATTATTCATTTTAAACAAGCTATAGTTAATTTTTATATTACTCACTTTATAACCACCTCACTATCCGATATCACACTAACGGCAATATTTTCCGGTGGTCCAGGCAAACGATCCCTATTCGATTCAAAACATCCCACAATAGTTCTTGCATACTGCAGACTACAAATTTCCTTAGAACGAACTGGTTCGCCACGACACCAATTCAGACATTTACGTGGTACATTCGAATCAGCACAACAACTACGATGATCTGAACCGTCAGCGGCACAACGCATCATTTTATCAAATTCGACAATACATTCAGGTTTATCAGCTATAGCATCAATATCGACATAATAACTGCAGGCACTGCGACACGTCATCGAAACATTCAGTTGGGCACAACATTCCGTAACTTTACGATTGAGGGCTGGGGTGGTGCGCATACGTACCGATACCGGTATGGTCTTGGAACCATATGGATTTTCAGCATGACAGAAATAGTCGCCAACATCACTTGCTTGTAGTTTGTGAATGCGCAACACCATGGAATATAAATTCGGATGTGATTCATTGATACGTTCCATAATGTGATAATTGCCACCCTCAATGACCGGTATGCGGCCATCATGATCACGCCAGAAAATAGTTTTTGGTTTGGGTTTCGAATCGACTAGACAACGCAGTTCCACTTCATTGCCCACCGAGGCCACAGTTATGCCGGCGGCTTGGATTTTGGGAGGGTCTAAATATAAATTATAAAAAACTCTTTTATTTTCCAAAACTTTTATTGATTTTTATAAAACTTACAGCATATATTAACCTTCCGAGTGGCCTGCATTGGCACACCATAACCATTATCGGCATAACACGAAACATGTTCCATATCTGCAGTGACGTTGTGTATAACCGTGACCATATGTCTTGAAGCATCTTGACGCACTAAATGTCCCCCAACATATAATGAAATAGTGGGAGCGGGATTTCCCAAGGCCAGACAAAGTATGGTCATGGAACCACCTTCGGGTATATTGTCAGCGGGATGTACCGTTGGAGGCTAGAGATTTTTATTTTGAATTATATTGTATCTTCCTAAGGGTCTTTTTATTATACTTACATCCACAAAGGCTGGTAAGGCGGGATCCGTCCAGGCCACAAGAGTTTCTGATGGCATTGATGTTGCCTTTTCTCCCACAGCTTCAACATACAAAATATGCTGTGAACTTGGCTTCAAATTACCCATGCGCAGCCATGCAACTCTCGTCTCTATTTTATTGAATTTTTCAGCTTTGGTCGGCTTGTGATACACTCTGGAATGTCAAGGGAAGGGAAGATTAGGTCAAACATGGTTCAAAATTAAATGTAAAATAATAATGGGTAGATATTTTGACCCCATAGACTGACTTCATAATCGTATTTTAAAGTTTATAACCAAATTTCCACAGACTTGAAGCATAAAGGGCTAAGCAGAATGCTCGCGTTGAGCCATCCGTTGCGTTACGTGTTATCGAAAATACAACAACCACAAGGAAACGATAACAGAAACGCTCGAAGTTGATGTGCGTTGCGCTTCGGAGTTAAATATATTTTAACTTTTTGCGTGCGTTAACGCGATAACAAAAAACGCTCAACGCGAACATTCTGTTTAGCCCTTAAAGTCCAAATGTCTCATGATAACGTTACTCCTGTAGTGTAACAATATTAATCCAAAAGACTTTAATCACCGGCCTTTAACAATTTTAATCGATAAGACAAACAACATCGTGAAAGATATCTGAATTTAAACGACCAAGTAACACGTTTCAAGTATCATTTAAATCTATATAGCTTATTTCGAGAAAGTCTTGTGTAGTCGGACCTGTCCGAGTTTGGCCCCTTCCATACTAGTTATGTATCTGGTAATATTTTCCTAGGAACTGTTCTCTCCGAAATAAACCATTTATTATTAATTTGTACGAAAATTATTCCTATAAAGCTACATGAAAACTAAATATGTTAATAACCCAGTGAACAAAGCCAAATAAATTTGACAGAACGTGTGAACTGGCGAAAACTCCACAAAAGACTCTTATAGTCAAACTGAATGTCTTTGAGAGAGTTTTTTTTAATTTAGATCTAATAAAAATTGGTGTACTCCAATCGTTTAACGTAAAAGAGGGATATCGTGTTGCGGATCACGTAAAAGAGTGATATCGTGTTGCGGACCAGGGCGGTTTTATTACATTCTATTCGAAGTTGGAGTTACGAATAAGCACCATTTACTGGCATTATGATGCGGATGTACTCCCCAAACAGGCTGTCTTGTCTGATGACAAAAACCTTGTAACAAATCTCGTTTTTCTTAAATTTGAAGTATAGCAAGGGTTGCTTCTTATTTCGGATTCTATCAGAACCATGAATAACGTGGATCGATTTAAGCCTACAAAGAAAGACGGATTTAGTCATGTCAATGATATTATACTCCCCGGGTTATAGGTCTTTACAGAAGATTGTATAATGCAAAAAAGTAAAACCGTCGTTCAATTCGCTCGGAACAAATATTGTATAGCCTCCACAAAGTATTTGGCATTCTCTAATTGGTCAGGATTCTTAAATTATAGGCATTCAGGCTGGAAGGCTGGGATAGGAACTTCAACATACAGGAAACTAAACGGAACAAGGGCTATTTTAATACAAAAGGCGGACGGGGACGACTATATGATACCCTTCATCACCTTTAGAAAATACTCTGAACCGATTTCAACAAAACTTAAAAATTTAATTTTATTGTGCAAATTCCGTGTATATGGAAGAAAAAATCTCTTCGGTGCACCATTTACATAAACTCGGACGAACATATATTGGATCTACATCTAAATCTAAACCGATTTCCACAAACATCATCACACATTATTGTAGACTCAGAAACTGATTATATGCATATCCTCAAAAGGAATGGAGCCTATCCTAAAAAATGGAGCCATATATCCTATTTTCAATACCAAACATCCTAAGAGTAGTATCTTCAATATTGAGACCTCTATCGAGATTTCAGCAGCAGTTTCTGAGGGTAGGATCTGATGTTCTGTAAAAAGAAACAAATCAAAGCAAAACTTTTGGATTTTCGTTCTCTATTAATCAATAAATTTTGGAGTAATTTCTAAATAACGGTACCGTAAAAATTGTTAATGTTTCTAGGCCCATATTTTGGGATATATTGTTTTTTTAATACTATAAACTCCTGAACTCGGACTTCGTTCCAGAGAGTTGTAACATGCAACGAATCATCAACGAAGCATAATCATTGAAATAAAAGATTACGCATGAGGCTTGATAACAAAAGGTGAGCCAAGTTCGGTCGATGTTGATAGATTCTGCTCAGAAGGCGTTAAATCACAATATATCAGTGCACAATTGTAATCACATTTTTGAGAGATAATCCAATTCCGAAACTTTTCGTTTGTTCATGTTCATTTCAAGGACGACATACTTTTGAAAAGCTGGAAAAATGATAAATGGATGTACTTTCACTAAAATAGAAAATAGGATTTGAACAAACCCTTTATATCACTTGGCAGACCCGATTTTAGCCTTATCTTTCTCTCTGTTGTCCGTCTCATGAATTCACAATAGACATAGCTTCAAAATTTTGTACTGACATTGCCACTACTCCTAGATTCTATGGTGTAACACGATTTTATAGTATTTTAAGGATATCAGACATATTTTCAACCGAATTGTCTTTTATCTAAATATTGGTAGTCAAATTCATTAATAACCAGTAAGGAAAGTAGTAAAGTCGGACGGGGCCGACTATATGATACCCTTCACCACTTTGGGTACATTCAACAGATGAATCCTAAGAGACGTCACATTTTTAACGAACCAGGAAAATGAAATTGGATCTATAAACATGTCATTCTGCAACCTATACTAAATAGAAGCTAAATCTAAATCTGAACCGATTTCAGGAAACATAAACCACCTAATTCATAACGATGTGCCAAATTTCGTGCAAACCGAAAGATATATAGGGACTTTAGTCGACCATTTACATAAAATCGGACGAAACTATATATAGAGCTATATTTAAATCTGAACCGATTTACTCGAAACTTAACACACTTCATTCAAGACTCAATTCAGTACACTATGCAAAATTTCGTGTAAATCAAAAGATATAAAGAGACTTTGGTGCACCATTTACATAAAATAGGGCGAAACTATATATAAGAGCTATATCTTAATCTGAACCGATTTTCACGAAACTTAGCACACATCATTCTAGGCCTAATTTAATACACTGTGCGAAATTTCGTGCAAATAGAATTATATTTAGGGACTTTGGTGCATCATTTACCTTAAATCGGACAAAAATATATACGGGATCTATATCTAAATCTAAACAGATTTTCACGAAACTTAGCACACATCATTCTAGGCTTTGTTCAGTACGCTGTGCCAAATTTCGTGCAAATCGAAAGATATTATAGGGACGTTGTTGAAATCGGACGAAACTATATATGGGAGCTATATCTAAATCTGGACCGATTTTCACGAAACTTGGCAGACACCATTCTAGACCTAAATGATTAGGCTGTACCAATTTTCGTGCAAATCGAAAGATATATAGGGACCGTTTACATTAAATCGGTTTAATATATATATATATGGGAGCTATATCTAAATCTGAACCGATTTTTCTCAATTTCAATAGGGTTCGTCCTTGGGCCAAATAAGTGACCTATGCCAAATTTCATTCAATTCGGATAATAAATGCGACCTGTACTTTGTTTGCAATTTAACATGGACAGACGGACGGACGGACATGCGTAAATCGACTCAGAAATTGATTCTATGCATATTCTCAAAAGGAACCATGGGTCTATCTCGATTATATTTCCCTGTTACAAACATATGCACAAAGACATAATACCCTGTACCACAGTGTGGTGAAGGGTATAAAAAGTATCAATATCGGGTATATGTTCTTGTAGTCCCTATATATGGTCAATGTCCATTTTCAGTATGAATTTACTCAAAATTGATATTTTGGGTTATGATTCGGTGGCAAATTTTTCATGTTTAGGTATATCAAAAATTCTAACAATTCTATAATTTTTCTAACAGGAGTGGATGTAAATAAAAATTCTGTTTTATTGCTGAGGACACGCGTTTTCACAGAACATATTTTGGTAAATAGTTTTTAATAATTTAGGTATTTTTGACTTTATTCGTTTTTAATTGGGTGGAGAAAATGTTCTTAGAGCAATTTATTAACACTGATTAATTTTTACATTATACAATTTTTAGGTTTCTGATATTTTTCATTTCCTGTGAAATATTCAATTTTCACACAACCTCTACACTGGTATACAACCGAACATTAAATTGGAAGACAATTGTTATATTGATAAACGTTCATCGAGTGAAGCATTGAATGTGGTGGAACTATAGATTGTTTGCTGGTATTGATGTAACGTTTGTTGTGCTTATTGTTGCTGTCATTATTGCTTCGAAGCAAATGAACTCTGTGTAATTAAGAACTTGACTTTTGCTTTACACTAATATATGGACATGAACATCAAATACCTAGTAACCAAAAGGACACAAGAGATCAAATGCAAAGTCAAGTAAGAGGGAATAGAAAATGCAATAACATGGAATGGCATATTAAAATTCTAGATTTATTACAACAACAACATGGATTGTTTAAGAAGGCCAGTAGGATTGTAAAAACGACAACCGTAAAAATATGAACAATCTTCCATAACATGTTTGCTTAATAATCCATTACTATGGCAACAAGGCCACTTTGTCATGAAAGTCCTTTTTTCACAAAGTACATCATTCTGCCCAAATGACTTATTATGAAACCACACACAAACACTGAAAGAGATTTCATATACAAAAAGACCACAAATATATATTGTCATGAATGTTGAAGATAATCTCGGTGACTTTTCATAATTAAATAATACCGGACAGAATCAGAATTTGTCCTTCATCCTTCGGCTATCTTTATGTTCCTTAACACATTTGACATTTCTCTTGTGTCCTTGTCACATTGAAATGTATAAACGTATTTATGTACATACCTGTAGGTAATTTTCTCGTGAGGATGTGAGTATTCTGGTGGTTGCCATGTCAACTGCATCCATGTGGCACTGTGAGCAATTATGGCCAGTGAATGTGGCGGTGAGGGAGCAGCATAAATATGTTGTTGACCATCTGTAAAATGAGAATGAACAAAAAGACAATTATGTAGTCTTTACATCAATAAATCGTAGTGGAAAATATAAGAGGTATTAAGAGGATGTGCGGAAATGAGCATAGTATGGTAATTATAGTATTTTTATACTATGAAACATAAGGTAGAGTGTATATTATTTTTTCTTTCCGTTTGCAGCACTTCGAAATAACCATCGGAGACCCCATAAAATATATTTAGCGATTTAGCCATGTCGGTCGATATTGATCGCAATAATAAAGCTGGAGATCTGAAACAGACATTGCAAATGGAATATATCTGTCCAAGTTTTGGTATATCCCCCGGTACTCCCAATATTCGGCTTGTTTTTAACCGAATCAGCTGTAATTCTGTATTTTTGGTATTCGGCGAACCTTCCTACTAAAAATTTTTAATATTGACCAAAGTCTTGGAGTAGTCTCATTATACCAGAATTATCCAATATTCGATATTATCGGCGTTTTAATTGTTCTTCTATACTCTTCACCACCCTGAGGTACAGGGCATTATGTCTTTATGCATATGTTTGAGAAGAAATGTAGCAAAGCGTATTGAATTCAATATAGAATAAAAAGAGTTAAGTTTTATTGGAATCGGATGTGATGTAGATATATCTCCAACGTATATTTTCATCCGTTTTTATGTAAATGACGCACCAAAATCCCAAGGTTTGTCAGATTGAGACGAAATTTGGACTAGCATTCCAAATTAAGTCTAGAATAGCATGTGTTGTGTTTCGCTGAAATCGGTTCAGATGAGGATGCCCCACACAGGTTATGCAAAATGTCCACAGCTTGTCAGACATTACCGTGGTGGCACCAGGATCTGACCAACTCCTATCATAGTATCCGTTAATATACCACCCGTCTTAATAATATCTGAATGCCGCACTTTCCTTAAACATGGCAAATCTAATTAACAAAGTTTCAGAGATTTGTCCAGTCGCCGTTTCAGTGAGTTGCCTATCCCCTCAGATCCTCGGGTGAGAAAAAATCGTCACTAATGCTGACGTACGATCATTACCAGCTGCAAGTATATCTGAAGAAAGACCAAACATCTCAGCGGAGGCGACGGTATTGTATAATGAACGTCACAAGCTTCGTCGTATCACCTTTAAAGACCTAAGGAGGACTTAAGAGGACTTACTATCGAAGTCAATATTCTGGCCGGAAGAAGTAAATTATGGACAATGGTTCAGCCATTCTCTAACCCTGGATGAAATAACAACAACACGGTTGCCATATTTAAAGGCGTGATTGTGGCAGATCCAAATAATTGACCGTGTTTTTTTAATACGCAGTTAACACAGAGTAACAGTGTGAAATAATAGCCCTCCGAGCAAAAGAAGGTACCACCATAATATACGAAGGAAGATGTTGCAGATGTCATCAAGAACAAGAAAGTCATCCATAGGGTTATGCCATGATTGAATTTCCATGGTAATGCTTAATCTACTGGATGAATCTGATCAGCCCTATTTGCCGTTATGAAACTTAGCACACATCATTCTAGGCTCCATATGGGAGCTATATCTAAATCTGAACCGATCTTTCCCAATTTCAATAGGGTTCGTCCTTGGGCCAAATAAGTGACGTATGCCAAATTTCATCCAATTCGCATAATAAATGTTTACAATTTAACATGGACAGACAGACGGACGGACGGACATGCATAAATCGACTTAAAAAGTGATTATATGCATATTCTCAAAAGGAACCATGGGTCTATCTTGATTCCTTTTGCCTGTTACAAACATATGCAAAATACCGAAAATTGGGGGGTACCCTTATATGGGGGTTACCTGAATAAATTGACCTATATTTATAATTTATAGTGGAGAGATTTGTTACCTAATAAGAACTCGACGTACCAAATTACAGTCAATTCGGTCGAAAAATACGATCAGAACCCCCAAAATACCAAAAATTTGGGGGTACCGTTATATGGGGACTATCAGAAAAACTGGACTTATATTTATAAGTTTTAGTGGAGTAATTTGGTACCCAATAAGAACCCAATGTACAAAATTTCAGAGAATTCAGTTATAAAACGAGCTCAAGAACCCCAAAGTAGTACAAAATGAAAAAAATTCGCTGTTGCAAACATAAATTTACTGTGAAAAAAATTCATTTCGGGGGGGCCGGGCCCCCAGGGCTCCCCCCTGCGTACGTCCCTGATTGATGGTATATGTGAGAGGATCAAAGTCTACATAGCTGATTCTGCGAATTTCTTCCAGCTAAGGAATACTAAAGTATCCGCCACCAAATCCACAGACACACTCTTAACTACTTGGAAGACATAAACTACTTAACATAAACGTTGATGGAGAGCAGAATGTGACCACAAACTATGTCAAGTCCTTGGACGTAACTTTCGACAGCCATTTCAAATCATCCGCGCAAGTCACAAGCTCAAAACTAGGACGAAGTCCTCTATTTGCCGGCAGTGTGATTTGCGAATGTATCTAATACACAGTGGGAGAATATACAGACCCGCCCTGAGAACTGCAACAGGATGCCTTCTCATTACACAATGAGGAGACGAAGATCATACCCGTCCATCGGCACAATCAAGTGTTGTCGATGCATTACGTACTTGGTCGGAATCACTCCTGTCATAGTCTTATGGATAGTCTTCCTTCACTCAGGCACGCCAGGAGAGATCTTCATGATCTATAGAGAAATCATGAAGTAGAGACCAGAGGTAGTACCTTGAACCTCATATCAACAGACTTATCTGGCAGGCCTGGATAGCATTAATATAGATGCAGTCCCCTTGGCAGTAGATCAATACTCTCAATACCTCGGAGACTATCCACCACCATAGAAGAGGGGAAGCAGCTGTTTGGACAGACATGAGTAGTATTAGCATGACTGCCTAAAAAGGCAGACATTTCTAAATTCAGTGCATACGAAATGTACTGTTTAAACAAGTCAAAAAGTGTCAGTCGGTGTCGCCGACAGATATACAACTTCAGCCTATGATTAAAGGAGAGGGCCGAAGGGTTCCACATTTTGACTTAATGTAGGTTTGGTAGAAATAATAGGTTTTGCAAAGTTTGGTTAAAATGGAACACTCCATTAGCCTTAGATTGGATTTATAAGTATTGAAAATTTCGACACTATGTGGGAAAGGTACCAGAAGGAGTGGACTAATGGATCCCATATTCGGACTTGATCTAGGCTTGGTGTTCATGTAGCGAACATGGTTTTTAAATAATAAAGATAGTGAATGTCTTACTGTGGGTCTCTTGTGTAAAAGAGAGAATATTTAGTTAAACAGGGATCTATTTTTGTCTACAGTCCACTTGAGATAAGAGATTATTTTGGTTGAATATTTGTACACAATAATAAGATAGGAGTTTTCTATTGCCACTTGTGGTATGTTTGGGTGAGATTACGGGGAGTAATCTTCACTACAGACTGATAAGCATACGTAGCGTGCTTGCCACATGGGAGATAAATAATTGTGTGTGTCCACTCCATTTGTGATAGCAGATGCACTCTCTCTCTCTCTCTTTTACACATTAGTCTAAGATAGGTTAAGTCATATTGTAATACTTAGTTCTTAAGAATCACTTTTTATTCAAATAAATCAGTGTGTAAATGCACAACAAATAAGAAACATACGTGCTATCACTCCGCGGACAGTATCCGCGTAAGATCCCTAGTTTTCATTGGTCCTTCGAGCCGGATCAGAGACCGATTGTGGAGGAAATTGATGCTGAAGAATTTGCCTTAAAGGTCAGGGAAATTCTCTCAGCTTGGAGGAAATCCAAATAGAAAAAAATTAATTGAAAACAGAATGCCGAGTCAAAAGGAGACTGCGGTGAGGAAAATGGCGGTGACGGCGAGACATTTAGCTAGTGAAGGTTCAAGTCTGAGTATAGCGGCTACAGATGAAGATAAGCTAGGCAGAGCCTCGGCACCGACCCTGGAGTGGGAGATAAACAATCTATACAAATAATATTAACATGTTCGCAGAGAATATCGATCGACTAGATGCGACTGTGGTACCGAAACTATATGACTTTATAGAAAGTCTAGTGAGGGACGCATCCGATGAAGTAAAACGTTAACCGATGGTGCGGGATCGGTGGATGGAGATATTGGAGAAGAAATCCAATTTGGCAGGAGGTTTTAGGCCAGTCCAAGAACAAATGGGCAGCCTTCGAAGAGCATTGGAGGAGAAAAGTCTTGACGTGGCGGAGTTACGGGCAAGGAATAAATAGCTAGAAGTTGCTCTAAAAAGATCGGAAGACGCCAATGGTTGCCTTAAAGAAAGAGCACAGGCAAGTTATAGAAAGGCTAGAGATAGATACCTTGAATTGCACTTTCAAGATCTCAAGCTTAAAGATGAATTGGTTGCGGCTGCAGAGAAAGCCCAGGCAGCAGAAAAATCCTGGTAAGAAGAGAAAATGAGGCTTTTGAAAGAACTGAATCTTTCGGAGAAGGCACGAGAAGCAGCAGAGGCCGAACGTGATCAGTTGGCCATACGAATGGTTGCCAACGACAAAAAGGAGCGGGAAGTAAGTAATATTCCATTTGCTCAAAGTAATATTCTATTTGCGCAGAAATTAGCTCCAGTCGGGTTGGCCATGAAAAAGAACGATGCGGTGGCTGGTGCGGAGAAAGCAGTTATGGAACAATGTCCAGTTGGGAAGTTGAAGCCGGCGAACAAGGAGCAGGTACATAAAGAAAGACCAGTGGGTACTTGTTTTGCCGGTGGGACGATGAAGCCGGCGGAAAATGGCGCTGAACCCACAACAAAATGTGAAAGTGGTGATAAGCAGAAACCGCTAGTTACGGATGTTCCGGTCAGGAAGATGGTCGATATAAATCGTGGAAAGGCGGCCGGGAAGTCGGATCCAGCAGTCAGATGCAATACGCAGCCAACGTTAGATGGCGCACCACGTAATAAAGAGGACGTGCTGCCGAAGAAGAAAGAATTTGGTGCCAAGAAAGATGGTGAAGCAGAAGGGGAAGGGTTTCCCAAAAAAACGAAGTCTGGGGTCAGAAGCGGGGACAAGCTGAAAAAGGAAGCCGAGGCTATGATGAGGTTTGCAAATGGCACAGCCTGGAGTACGATACTGACGTCCAAAGATGTGAACAAGCCACTTGGAAGCCGTATGATCGAGAAGCCGACGAAAACTATGGCCAATGGTTCTGGATGGAAGATGAAGCCGGCAGACAAAGGTGGAGGTGCCGATATTAGAAGCTGGTTGGAGAGATGGCGGTGGTACCTGGAGGCGATCACCTAGCTGTTTTTTGGTTTCTTTATAATTCAATTTTTGATATTTTATAATTTTTATATCTTGGAATAGTTTATATTTTATATTAATTTTCTGGCCCGAAAGATGTTCACGTAGCGAATATGGTTTTTAAATAATAAAGATAGTGAATGTCTTACTGTGGGTTTTTTGTGTAAAAGAGAGAATATTTAGTTACACAGGGATCTATTTTTGTCTACAGTCCACTTGAGATAAGAGATTATTTTGGTTGAATATTTGTACACAATAATAAGATAGGTGTTTTCTATTGCCACTTGTGGTATGTTTGGGTGAGATTACGGGGAGTAATCTTCACTAAAGACTGATAAGCATGTGTAGCGTGCTTGCCACATGGGAGATAAATAATTGTGTGTGTCCACTCCATTTGTGATGGCAGAAGCACTCTCTCTCTCTTTTACACATTAGTCTAAGATAGGTTAAGTCATATTGTAATACTTAGTTCTTAAGAATCACTTTTTATTCAAATAAATCAGTGTGTAAATGCCCAGCAAAAGATACAGACGTGCTATCACTCCGCGGACAGTATCCGCGTAAGATCCCTCGTTTTTCACTTGGTAATGATGATAGGTTGTGCAAAGTTTGGTTCAAATCGGATAGTCTGCTCGCATGCTATTATGAAACAAATTTTTATCACAATTTTGAACATTTTTGTGGGGAGGTACCAGCAAGAGTGGACCGATACTCCCCATCTTTGAATCTTAACCATGCCTGAAAGAAATTGTACGATGTGCAAAGTTTGGATAAAATCGGTTACTCCTTTGAGAGTTATCGTGCGCACCAGACGGTTAGACGGACGGACATCTGTAAATTGACCTCAAATTGTCTGAAACGAATTTGGTCCCAAGAAACAAGGAGTCTGAACCAAATATAATAATATAAGGCACATGTTTGCCGTATCAAAATGGGCTGTGTGTACAATAAATATGCCACCCATCTTAGTATGGAGCATATGAAGTTTCCAATGAATTCAATCCTAACGTAAAATATCGTTAATTTTACTTAAAAATTCCACAGACTATAACAATACTGCAATTGGCAACTACAGTCCAGCCCCACAGCACAACATGTCAATATTTGCAATAATTTCCGACCAATTTTGTGTTGCACTTATCATTGACTTGTAATTAACAAATTTGTCATTTTGTCACAGCAGCAGAGATTCTCTGTATTCGACAAATTTGTAGTTGTTTTTTTATTTGTTACCAATTTTGTTGATTTTGTTGTTGTTTTTATTGTTATATCAACTATTCATGTCCAGCAATTGTAATTAAAACTAAATTTACCTTTTTCATCACTGGCACTGCTATTGTTCTTCGGTTCGGTGGTGTTGATTAACAGCATCGATGATGGCAACGATGTGCCATATTTACCGCGTGTCAATACCATGATTCGATACAAAGCATGCGGTTCCAAATTTATCAAATCGATGGATGTTTCATTTGTGACCAGCTCCTGCAAAAAAAGACAACAACAAAAAAACTTTAGAAAAACAACATGAGGAGGGGGTGTTGCGATATGTTGGTGGGTTGTTTGGCTTTTTTTAAACAAAACCCAAATTCGTAACAAAAAATTCAACAATGACCAACGACCGACTACAACACAAATTCAACAAAATCTCTATATTTATTCAGTGTATTTAGCACTTTTGAGTAATTGCAATGTAACAACGTTCTGTAATTTGTGGTATTTTTTCGCTATGGAGTTTTTTTACCCAGTTTTGACTGACCACCATGATTGTTGATTGGTTGTTGGGTTGTGGTGGTATGATGTTGATTGTTCTATAGCGACATGTTCACTTGGACATTTTTATTCGTTTGTTGGTTTTATTTAAGTAAATACCATTTAAAATAAGTTGCTTTTGGTCGGTCTGGTGGTAACATTTTAAGCCCTTTTAAGAGCATTACATGATGTTGGGAACAAACGTACACGCACACTCTCACACACCAACATTGTCAATATTTTATTAAGGAGTAATGTATAAGGGCTTTGGGCCAGCTTGTTTTTAAAGTTAGTGGTATTAACTTTATGTAAAATAGTACAATGCTCATAGTATGTAAAATTTGAAGTTTTAATCGGATGGCGATTTATTTTTGTTTTACAACATAAATATTTTTTTATATAACATGTAAAACAGAAGCTAATACGAATGCTAGATGCCCTACAACATGTGATTCAAATTTATAACGTATGAGTGATGATTTCCGCATGGAAGATTTACTAAAGCATTGACTTAGCAGAAAATTGTCAATAATATGCCAACTAAGTGTCCGTAAATTAAGCAATTGAGAAGATGGGGCCTATATGGCCACTCCCTTTGGAACCTTCTTTACAGATGATACAATTTTTGATAAAAAACCTATGGAGACTTTTGATATGTGGCGTTTGATGTCAATGAAGGTGCTCGTCCTAGTCGCCCAAGCACGTCAACAACCGATAAAAACATTAAAAAACATATCAGAGTGTTATGCCATGTACAGACGAACGTTGTTCGCTCTATCATTCGTCGTTCGACCCTTAATTATGAAGTAATTACTTAGTTCCCATACAATTTTTTTCTGAGCGAACACCGATTTTTGTACGTAGTTCAATTCGAATCACTCTCCAAACAACAAAGAACTTTTTCTCATCCCTAACAATTGAGAGCATTTATAAATAAATTAATTTTTACATCTGGAAAATATTTAAAGAATTTTCAAACTTTATCAGTAAAATTGAATCAGCGAATATATATCTGAAATTGTTAAGTTTGGAACTCCTTTTTCCTATTCCTAAAACTAAAGCCACCGAAGAACGGAGAGCGTTCGAAACAATAGATGTTGTTCAAGTCAGTTATTGATGGTTAAAAAACGGACCATTTTTGATCAGACCTTAACGGCTCTTGTTTCGTCAGACCTCGAATATAAAAACAAATAAAAACGATGTTCGACCGGGCCGTAATATTTTTAGCCTCCACCATAAAGTTGACATTCAAATTACTAAAAATAATTGAGGCTCCCAGGAGAAAACTCATGTTATGATATCAACTTGAACCGAAAATATGTTTTATGGGTCGATTACGGATGGTAACCAGAGTTTAGTGGCGTTGCCAGTTGCCATATTTGAATTATGGATGGCAACTGTTGTCAACTTCAGTTGCTTCAAATAGAATTTTTCGGCAACCATTTATTTCTGGTTGCTGCTTAGTCGTAATGGTTTAAACTACTACAAAATGGCGAACATCTTCTTTTGGGACCAGGATATGTACGTGTATGCCATCTATACATCCGACAAAACCCGGGAACTTTGTTTTCGAACCAAAAAAATATTATTCTTCCCCTTTTCCTCCTCTGTTAATTTGGAAACCATCCATATTTTACACAGTTTTTCCTCTATTAGCCGGACAACTTCGGTCAAAACCACCGACATTGTGGATCGAGCTATGCCAAGGTTGAAGTCATTGCCTCCACAAAAAAACCTCAGAGCTGCACACACTTTTAAAAGAGGCATATTTTGGTAGCCGAAAATACGCCTTAAAGCTAAAATGAGCAGTTGATTGAACATGTCTCTAAACATTAACATCTACTCACAGTACGGATGGTAGTTCTAATGGAGTGGCGTTGCCAGTTGAAATCGCAACTGGAGTTGCTATCCATAATCGACCCATTAAATTCTCCAAATACCGAATACGGCTACCGTTTTATTGAGCTTTGCCGAAACGGGGATCGATATGGATAATTTTTGATCGTGATATTTGGCACTCCCGAAAATCGGTAGGTGTCTTTATATGGGGGCTAGGCGTAAATCGATTTAGAGCAAACGTGATAATCGATATTCGGTATGCCTCTCTATTCAAAATAAAATTCAATCAGACACCCGTTCGAAATATATATGGAAGCTATGTCTGCATCTGCACAAATGTCAACAATACGCAATAACGACATTGCAGTCTAAATTTGATACGTTGTGCAGGATTTTCTTTCAGTCGGACAAATATTGAGTGTTTGGTGCATCATTTAAAACCAGGAAAGTAATAAAGTCCGACTGGGCCGATTATATGATACCCTTCACCACCTTGGGTATAATGTACATATGTATCTTTACAATTGCATGTCAATGTTCCTTCGAGGGAACATATCGCGCCTTTCTGCAACCTATGTTAAATTTACTTTCATTCGGGCAGATTTAAAGTCGTTTGCGTACAATGGGACAAATTTAAGGAAAACGATTTATAGCAAAATTGATATACCCTATTCGTCGCACTGTTAAAAATCAAATCTCAGTCAGACATCCGTTCGAAATACATATGGAAGCTATCTGCACCAATTTCACAAAACGTTATAACGTCATTAAGTCCGATTAACCGATTTTCACGAATCTTAGCATACATAATTCTAGACTCAATTCAGTATGCCGTGCCAAATTTCGAACAAATCGAGAGATATATAGGAACTTTGGTGAACCATTTACATTTAATCAGACGAAAATATATATGGGAGCTATATCTAAACCTGAACCGATTTTCACGAAATTTAACACACATCTTTCCAGACTTAATTCAGTACGCTATGCCAAATTTCGTTCAAATCTATAGATATATAGAGATTTTGGTACCCCATTTACATTAAATCGGTCGAAAATATATATGGAAGCTATAACTAAATCTGATCCGATTTTCATGAATCTTAGCATATATCACTCTAAACCCAATTAAGTACGCTATGCCAGATTTCTTGCCAATCGAAAGAAATGTAGGAGCTTTGGTGCTTCATTAACATAAACTCGGACAAAAATATATATGGGAGCTATATATAAATCAGAACCGATTTCCACGAATGCCAAATTTCCTGCAAATCGAATTTGGTGCTCCATTAACATTAAATCGGACGAAAATGTATATGGGAGCTATACCTAAATCTGAACGATTTTTCTGAATTTCAATCGGATTCGTCCTTGTAGAATTCGACTCAGATTCTATGTATATTCTCAAAAGGCACCATGTGTCTATCTCGTTTCCTTTTGCCTGTTGCGCTGATTTTCCCTGGTGGTGGTGGTATATATATTCGCCCAACAATAAAATTTAATATACATGAAAACAATAGTCAAATCAATATATCTCCAAATGATTTGGAAATAAATTGTTACTTCACCAAATAACTCTACACACAAAGATGTTACAACCCATATCCATTTAAAGTCGTTTTTACTCAAATACTACAAATAATCTCAATATAAATAAAAATCATGCAGCAACGCATATCTTCAATAGTATGTGACACGATGAGTGCGCCAACACACACATTGAAATTGCCCCAGAAAAAGCAACGACAAAACGCAGTAGCATCCATTTATGACAAAAAACCCACTGACCAAATGCCATTGACTTAGATACATTGGAATTTATTTGGTCTTGTTGCCGGTATTGCTTCTTTTTGCGTATTATTTTTTATTCACATTTGGCGTTTATTCGAATTGTTAGGCGACATGGTTAACATAGTTGTCGTTGTGGACAGATCTCTCGGCGGAAAACTAAATGTGTAACCAAGTTTATATGGTGTTTTCTTTTTTGAAAATTGTTGTGAGGTTTTTTCTTTTCGCCCATAGTCGGAAATACAAACAACCATCTAAAAATGTAAACAAAGTGATGAAGTAAACAAAACAAACGCCATTACTGGTACAAGGGTACCAGTACGTGTGTACCTGTGAATTTAAAATGGTTTATTTGAAAGAATCACGAGGAGTTGATAGTGAGTGGAATGTATTCAAATGATTTTTATAAAACTCGAGGTTGAATAGGTTTATATAGAAGAATTGGTTTTCGAATAATTTTTTTTATCTCCTACAGAATTGGAAATTTGGAAATAGTTTAGAATAGAAATGGTCAATGCGAATCGGAAATTTTTAAATAGTTTAAAAAAAAATAGTCAATGCGTCCATACGCTTCAAAATAGCAAATATCGATTTGAAACTTTATATAAAGTCTACATAAAATCAGTAGGAAAGGAGTAAAGTCGGGGGGCCGACTATATGATACCCATCTCCACTTTGGGTATATTTAACAGTTGTATACCAACAGACGTTAACATTTTGAAGGACAATTGGACGAAATGAAATATGTAACTTTTACCTATAATTGAACCGACATAAATTAATCCATACACATGCCACTCCGCGAACTATGCTAAATTTAATTTCATTCGAACGATATAGAGTCGTTTGTTTACAATGGGACAAAAATTTATATCGATTTAAAGCAAATTTGAACTACGCTATTCGATATGATGCAGCACAGCGGACTTTTCAAAATCTCAATCGGACCGCAGTTAATTATTTGGAGTCCAATTAACATGGTATCTCGAAAAAATATACGGAAGCTATATATGCATCTGCTACAATTTCTTAGAAACACAATATAGCCATTCTAAGCTCAATTTGTACTTGTTGCAAAATTTGCTGAAAATTTATGGGTCATTGGC